TGGCTCCACAGTCAACACTCTTGGTAACAGCAGCCAGGAAATCAGGAGATGAATTGCATTGGGAAAGTCGGCTGTGAGGGACCTCTCAGGAGTATTGAAGAGCAAGATGTCAGACTGGAGACTAAGATGTGCCTGATCCGGGCTATAGTCTTTGCAGTTATGTGCCATGCATCAGAGAGTTGGACAGTGAATAGGGTTGATAGAAAGAGGATTGATGCCTTTGAGCTGTGGTGCTGGAGAAGAGTGTTAAATATACCATGGACTGCTAGGAGATGTACAGGTCTGTCCTGGAGAGGGTGAAGCCAGAGTGTTCCCTGGAGTCAAGGATTCTGAAGCTTTGTCTGACATAGTTTGGGCATGTTGCAAGGAGGGACTTGTCCTTGGAGAGGGACATCGTGTTTGGCAGAGTGGAGGGATGGTGAAGGAAGACCTTTGGTGAGATGGATCGATTCTGTGACTGGAGCAGTGGGAATAAGTGCGTTTGAGATGACTAAGTTGCCACAGGATAGAACAGCATTTAGAGCTCTTGTACATAGGGTCACTATGAGTCACAAGCGACTTGATGGCACATAACAACAAAAACAACAACAAATAAATCATTGTAAAAAATTCAACTATACAATCTTCACTCTCATTTCTGTTACCAAGGCTATATTTTTTAACTACCTACCTAGCGTTTGTTTCCAACTTCTGAAATTTGTCTCTCTCTTATTACTGTCACGACAAAATGAATTAATGTATTTATTGTCCTTCCCTCCAGTTTTTGAGAGAATATAAATCACATAGGAAGAGATTCCTTATCATTCTTTCTTAGAGCTTCTAGTTAATTCAGTCTCTGATAAATGTGTTGTTTAATCAATAAACCTCTTCTGATTTTATAATTTTAAAAACATTTTCTTAGTGATAAATTCAAATATTTTCTTTACCATTTTTCCCTGAAAATAATTTTCTATATCCTTGCATTTTTGAGAGTAAAGAGAACTTGAAGCACTTCTGTGTGGCTTGAGTATCAACATAAAGAAAACAAAAAAAATCTCATAAATGAACCAATAGACAATATCATAATAAATGAATACAAGTTTTAAGCTGTCAAAGATTTCATTTTACTTTGTTTCACAATTAACCTCAATGTAAATAACAGCCAAGAAATCAAATTATATACTGCACTGGACAAATATGCTGCAAAACAATACAAAATAAAACAAACAACAACTTTAAATTCTTAAAAATATCACTTTGAGCATGAAGGTAT